TGCTCCTGCTCCTGTACCTTCGGCCTGGAGTCCTGGAAGCGGGGTGGGTTCCTTGCCTTTTCCTTGCAGACTCCAAGTGCCATACATTCGATTAGCAAGGGGCGAGAGCCCCGAAACTCGATGAGTTTTATTAGTAAATAATGGCAAATCATTTGCCAGTTGACACTCGATGGGGCAGGACACGTAAGGGAATGTCACTGGCAGGACCCTGCTAATGAGCGCCATTAATGAGCGCTATTTTTCATTGAAAGGACAATCAGCGGCGACGACAGCGTAATGGGGCTGCAAGTCTCTTGGGTATTTAAGAGTCCGAATGACAGCAGGTGCTGTGCCGTTCATATATGTAATGCCTGGGTCCTTGTACATATCCACACACGCACACACAGGCCTCATGAAAATTTAATACGAAATGCTGAGAAGAAAGCAAAGAATTCGTAATTAAATTAACCATTTGCCGGCGCCCTCACCCTCACCCTCAACCCCAAAAGTGCCTTTGTTTTTTTTTTTGCGTTGCTTTAAATTAAACATTTTTGCCTTTTCGCTGGGGTTCGAGTCCCTTCCGGGATGCTGCGGATCTCTGAAGCTGCTTTGAGTGGGTCAGCGGCAAGGAAACCTCAACAATTTCCACTCACGGTGCCACCAGGAGTCCCGCCCTCAATCAGAGCCTGTCTTGTTGGGCACAGGAAACAACAATTCCAAGTAATCCTCCAAGAATACCTAGCTTTCAGTTATTTCTATATTTATTTTTATTTATTTTTTTTATTTATTATTAAAGATAGAGAAGTTTACAAAACTAAACTAACTTAGTTGGTAAAGCGCTGGCAACAGGGCCTTCGGCTTTTAAGATTCATGATATTATATATATTGTTTTAATTACATATTTGACATTGTAGTTTGGCTACTTAGTTGGTAATTTTTATTTATATACATTTTGGGTATGTTTTTATATTTTGTGGTAAAGATTGGAAGATCTTAAGAAAATTAAGATTTTTTCTAGATTATCTGGGTTGAGTTCGCTGAGGAGATTGTATTTATTTTTATATTTATACCTTTATTTATTTCTTTAACTATTTTTATACCCTTGCAGGGTATTATAATTTCAGTCAGAAGTTTGCAAATAAATATAAACATCAAAACCAATCTGCAAACTTCGGCATGACGAAGTTGGCTTCCTTTCTTGTTAATTTTAAAATAATCAAGAAGTTTTTTAATATAAAAAATCAGATTTTATAATACAAAATAATATTTTTTTAAGGGAAGGAGTCATTTCCGACCCCATAAACCGTATATATTCTTGATCAGCATTAAAATACGAATCGTTTAAGCCGTGTTTGGAGGAAATCAAATTTTGAGCCATTTTTGCGAAATGTGATAAGGGGTTACATCATTAAAATTCTCAATTTTTGACCTAAATTTTTATTTCCAACTAAGTATGCAGATTTGTTAACCTCATAAAAACTAACACAGAACAGTTTTCCGATTTAAAATTAATGCATTTTTGGCCGAGTTATGATATTTTTTAATATAAAAAATCAGATTTTATAATACAAAATAATATTTTTCTAAGTGAAGGAGTCATTTCCGACCCCATAAACCATATATATTCTTGATCAGTATTAAAATTCCAATCGTTTAAGCCATGTTTGGAGGAAATCAAATTTTGAGCCATTTTTGTGAAATTTGATAAGGGGTTACATCATTAAAATTCTCAATTTTTGACCAACTAAGTATGCAGATTTATTAACCTCATAAAAACTAACACAGAACAGTTTTCCGATTTAAAATTAATGCATTTTTGGCCGAGTTATGATATTTTTTAATATAATAAATCCGATTTTATAATACAAAATAATATTTTTTTAAACTTGAATTTCAGTGCACACTTTTGGCTCCAGGTCGAGCTCCCAGGCTGAGGTTGAGCCCGCAGGTTGAGGCCGGGCGGGCAGGGAGTCCCAGGTCCACTACGACACTCTGGAGAGAAGTGCGGAATGAAAAATCGACTTGCAATTAGCAAACATGAAACATGACTACTTCACAGCCCACTCCCCCTTCCAGCCCCTGCTCCGGGGAGATGGGAATGTGTACAGACACATCCTGAATGTGCTCTGTGCTGTGTGTGTGTGTGTGTCTGGAGCTGCAGGAGAGCTGGCTCCAGGAGCTGGCAGCGTTGTCAGCATGGTTAATAAGTTACTTTCGGGATACTTTATTACTTCCTTGGTGGTGAGCGACAGCTGTGGGGGGGGAGGAGCGGCACAAAGGGTTGCTACCCCTTTCACCAGGCGCCCAGGCACCAGTCCCCAGTCCCCAGTCCCCAGGCCTCGGCGCGTTCTGTATCTCTGCGTGAGTATGTGCAGTTTTTTAATTTATGCGATTTTTGACTGCTGTCGTCCTCAACGCACGCACCACGTGGGTAAGGGTATGGGGTGGGGTCAGTGGGTGGGGTTAGCAGGTTTGGTTCCAGTTCCACAGTGCCTGACACAGTGGCAACTTCTGTTCATTACACTTGAAATTAATTATTTTAAATAATATTAAATTCCTAGAAAAAATTCAAAGAAAATTCTTAAAGCATAAGCCATAGATGTTTTAAGATATCTGCCAGAATAAATCCCTAAAAATACCCTTCCAATTGCTCTAATATTATATATTATCATATATATAAAAACTTACAATTTATAGTAAACCATACTTAGCCTCCTCTGCTGTTTGGGCCACTGTCCAAGTGTACGCTTCTCGCCCAGAATGTGGGCAATAGTTTCCACATAGCACGTTATCGGGGGGCGGTTGGGAGGCTAGACAAGCACCCCCCTTTTCGAGTTTTTCCCTATTTATGCAAATGAAATCAATGCTCGTTGACGTATGCGGGTGTGTGTGTGTGTGTGTGTGTGCGGCTGTGATTGCGTCAAAAGAATAGAAATTTTTCATTTTAAATTACAGGGCGAACTTTTCGTTCGTTTGTTTTTGAAGAAGTTTGCATCGAGGACCCGGCCAAAGGACCAAGAGAAAAGCTCTGCCGAACCACATTAAAGGTAACTATGCAAATATTTTTGCGGCTCACACGAGCAAACACAAACACACACTGAAAACTGAAATCCGAAAACCAAAAACCGGACCCGGCAACCCTTTCACCTTCAGCATTTGATTTTTTGTTGTATTCCTCTCCTGTAAGTCCTTGGAGGTGGCAACCAAAAATATTCCATGCTGGTCAATCGCAAAACTACGCAGAAAGTTCCCCTGCCTCATCCTGCCTGATCCTTCTGATTGTGTTTTGGTAGCCGTAGTTTTTCCGGCAATCACTTAGCCGGGGACTCTGCCCTCCGTAGAGCTATTTGCGGAATGTCTAATGAAGCCACATAAATCAAGTGGCCGTGCTGGCCAAAAGGACCGCCAATCATCCTCGGAGAGAGAGAGAGGTCAGCCCAGCGTCAGTGGCTAATTGAAATTAAAAATGTTGCCAAGAAATAGCTGGAAATTTTTCATACGATTTTCCCGGTTGGTGGTGATTGCCACTGATTTATGCTAATGTTTAAAAAACTGGAATAAGCAATTACTATGACTAATCCAATCTGAAAACATAAAAATATAATATATACAAACCTTCTAAAAACCAGAAAATTATATGCAATTAAAGGAGCTTTTGGTTTTATGCGATTTAGCTGCATTTTCACCTTTTTAAAGCATCCAAAAATATTAAAAATAATAATTCAAGTCATTATTGTGTATATCCTTTATTTGGTATTCGAATTATTTAATTCTTGTAATATTAAAAAAAAGACAATGATCACATAAAATATTTTTGTTCGCTTGTAAATTACAGAATTCTTTTTTTGCTTGTTTTTCTTGTCATACAATACAATGTTTATGTTATATTATATTATATTATATATATATATGCTATTATTTTAAATTTATATTATTTTGGTTTAGCGTTTAATTATTTTAACCATCGTAGAGTGTGTTATTTATGCCTTATTCGTGGTTCTGCCTCCCAGTTTGCTTCGATTTAGTTTTATATTTTTGTTAAAATTCGTCTAAATTACCCTTTACCAGGGGCTCTTACTCTCGTCCTTCCTCATCCTGCCATTTCTTCCTTTTATCAAGTTATAATTAAGTATAAGATTAGACGTATGACAATATAATAAAAAAAAAAAAAAAACACGTGACCTTGTTGTGGTTCAACTACGTTCGTTATTGTTTACTTAGGCTTACACAATTACTATTATTTTTGTATAATTAATTATTATTATTTTTCTTTTGTTTGGTTTAATGTATTGCACTGAATTTTAATCTATTCTTGGGTTTACTTCCGTTTATTTCGTTACTGGGTATACATAACATTAAAACTTACGATCCTACAGAGAGAGAAGCATACGAACATGTACATGCATATATGTACATGTATGGGCTTGCCTCGACTAGTTCTCCTCCATTGATATAATACCGTATATTCCGACACCGAAAAAAAAATGTGTGTGTACGATCCACTAAGATTAGTACCGATTACATTTGCAGTTTATTGCTATTATTATGCTTTTTTTCCTACTTTTTCCACTCGCTTGGTGTTCGACTTTAAACTAAACCTAGCCTGGAGCGGGTCTCTCTTCTTCCTGGGGAGCAGTTCGGAACACGTTTTGCTTGCAAAAAATTGACCAGACATTAACACCAAACAAATGCCCTACACCCAAACACCTATTTAGTTTCCACTTCTACTCCTATATATATATACTTTTTATAGTTAATAACTTCTAGTTTAGTATTTGATACAGACAAAAAAAACGTGTGCTTGCAATTTATAATCCAATTTAGATTTTCCTCATCTTTTTATACACGACGAAAGCGTCTAGGATCTAGGATGTGTGTGTGTGTAGTAGAGCTGGAAATATATCGATTTTTAGGGAATCGATTTTATCGAAAAATAGTCTACAAATTAATTGATTTAAATCGAAATTTGAAATAATTCCAATTAATTGAATTGTTAATCGAATTTATAATTGTGTTGTTTTTTTACATTTAATTTATCGATATCTGTTTTTAAATAATAAATAAATCGATTCTGAATTCTGATTCTATTCAATGGATCGCAATATTTGAAAAAATCATTCGATAACTCCGATATTTCCAGCTCTACTAGTGTGTAGTTCTAGCACCAAGTCTAGCCACCAACTATGTATGTATATGTGACTACTTACTGGGTACATCTCCCGGCTATACGCCTATATACTATATATCGCTACCTGGGTAGGGAGCTGGGAACCCCTCCTGGTTCGGTTCCCATATAAATATTTACACGCGTCGTGGACGGGTTGGGGCTCTGCCTGGGGCCAGAGCTCCTTGTGCTGCCAATGCTGGGGGACTTTTGATTATTCGGAGTGTTGTCAGGCGAGTTGTTTCCTCTTTAGATGGGTGTCGGCATCAGCTTGCCATAGTCCTGGTGCATGCTGGGCTTCACCGAGTTGTACACCGGCCGCTCGGCATCCTCGGGCAGGGCGTACACATCCGGCGGCACGCACAGCGACTGCAGCTTCGAGATGTACGAGTCAAAGTGCTCGTGCGGATGGGGATGCGTGTGCGGGTGGGCGTAGCTCACCGGATGGTGCACGGTGTACGGATGATGGTGATGATGATGATGATGAGGCGGTGGCGGCGGCACTGGTGGCACAGGCGGCGTGCCCAGGCCATTGCCTCCTCCTCCTCCTCCTCCTCCGCCACCTGTTCCGGCGCCCTGGTGACCGTACATACCGCCATTGCCTCCACTTGAGGAAGCTGTTGCTGGTGGCGGCGGCGGCGGCGGCAGCAAGGTGGAATAGGCCGTGGCATTCTCAGTGCTGCCCACCAAGGACCCTTCTCCGCCTCCTCCTGTTCCCAGCTGACCGCCACACACGCCGTCCGAAGGCGGAGGTGGCGGCGGCGGCGGCAGACGCACATGCTCCAGCAGCGTGATCACATTGTTGCGCAAGCTCTCGTAGTAATTGTTCAGGTTGGCATTGGCCGGCGCCCCTCCTCCTCCAGTGTCCATTGGGGGATTCGAGTTGCTGCCGCCCGAGCTGGGTGCCAGGCTACTGATCGAATGGCCCACCACCAGATCGGCCGAGCTGGAGCCTCCGCCGTTCCCGCTGTTCACCGCGTTGTTGGCTGTTCCGCTGGTGGAGCTAACGCTGGCGAATGGCGATTGTCCGCTGGGCGAGGCCAGGGAGGTCACCGAGGAGCGTTGCTGTTGTTGCTGCTGCTGCTGCTGCTGCTGATGGCCGCTCAGTGGAGAAGCCTCCTGGAAGGACAAGGGGATTGGTTAGCGGTGGTAGTCAGGGGCGGGGGTCAGGAAGGGGCACAGACGCTGGTCACGAATGGGAATTGAATTCCACAAGCTCCCCCAAAATGGGATTAATATGAGAATAAAATCTATATAAAATATATAATGTGCATGTGCGCACACACATGTGTACATGGAAATTCCAATAGGAAAACAGCAAAAGAAAAAAAATATCAAAGGTAATGGGGGACCTGGGGGTTGCCCCATTTTTGGGGGTTGAGAGTGTTTGCCGTAAAAAAAAGAAAGAAAAGAAAAATAAGGACGAAGTGTAGCCAACGAAGCCACCCGAACACGAACGCCTGTACTTTTTTTCGGAGTGGAGTTGTTCCTGGAGGAACGGAGAACGAGGAACGAGAAACAAAGGTTAAAGGCAGCGCCTGAGCAGCGACGCCACGTAGCACACTTTTTCTTTAGCCGACTTTTCCCCCGAAAAACGTTTTTAGGAGCAAATCGAATCGAGCCCTGCGATTTGTTGGCGCCTCGTCCTCATCGTCATCGTCGCTTGCGCATGACCAGCACACACAAACACACTTACAGAGGCGGCACACACGCACACTAGGGACACACGCGTGTTTAGGGGTGTGTGCCGCCGCCGCTGCTGCTGCCACACCTCCTGCCGCATCCTGATTCGCTGCCCCGATGCAGCAAGGATGCAACGCCAGCGATTGGCTGAATCAGAGACAGGCGCGCCCGAGCGAGGAGGAGGAGGAGGAGGCGTTGCACTCTTGGTGGTTGTGTGTGGCCTGCAAATTAAGCCATCATCACCAAAAAGCCGGCTTAATTTCCATATGTAAATATACATATATATATATATTTGTGTATCCTGCGGCCAAGGTTCAAGACGTCTGATAAAACTTTGTGCCTAAGTTCACCACACTTTGCTCAACTTAAGTTTGTTGCTCATTGTTTTTTCGCCGAGTTTTTAGAGACGTCCTTGAAAAACAGAAGGCGGGGAACTCGCTCAGGTGACGACGCCGCAACTCGGGGAAAACAAAACTAAGGAAAACTCTCGCTCACGCCAAGAAGGAAAACTCCACTCAAAGTCTCGTTTGAGTTGAAACTTTGTGGAATAGAAAAACAACACACGAAAATAAATAAATAGAAAATAAAAATAAAAGGACAAGTACAGTTGGTGGCAAAACTTGGCAGTGTGACCAGCCGAAGCAGTCTGCAAAGTTGCGCGAGAGTATGACCAGCGTCTGCAAAGTTGGGGCTTAAAGGGTCCTGCCAAAGTCATTGGAGTTACTAAAATGAGTAACGCCATACGAAACGGAGTCTATATTTCAATTTTGAAGCTCTCAACTTTGTGAGAACGGAACGTTGCTTTCAAAAAACGAATGTATGCTCGTTACTCATCTTAATAATTCGAATGTCTTTGGTTCTGGTGTGTTTCGTGTTTTTTTTTCTCATAATTTGTTGCCTTTCAACGAACCTGAGCCTACGTACCCGATCGCTGGTGCTCAGCTGCGACTCCATGGCATTGATGTCAGACTTGAGGCGCATCATCTGCGACTCCACGCGCGCATTCTCCCGCTGCAGCTCGGAGATTTCGGCCTCCAGTGTGTTCAGATCATCGCTACCAGTGGCCCCTGAAGAGGAGCCACCACCGCCGCCACCACCTGCTGAGCCAGTCTTCTCGCCGCTGTTGCTGCCGTTGCTGTTGGTATGGTGGGGATTACCATTGCTGCTACTACTGCTGCTGCTGCTCACTCCAAGGCCGCCGACGCCGAGACCCAGGCCCACGCTGCCGCCCATGACGATGTCCAGGCCGCTGGCGCCTGTTCGAGGTGAGTGGGAGGAGTAGGAGGAGGTAGAGGTGAGAGAGATTCGTTAGTGGATGCTTGCTCCTCTCTAGCGATCTATGATTTATGTTCTTTTTTGTCTTTTCTCTCCGTGGGATCTGGTCTGGCATTCCACGGTTTGTCAATGTGCGCGTGTGCTAGCAATTCGATTGGCACTAGTGGGTGTGTAGGTGTGTAGGTGTGTAGGTGTTGTGTGTGTGTGAGATGTGTAATAATAATTGTTTTCTTTGTAGCCCAAAGAAGTCGCATTGAGTGGAGCACAGCTCAGGAGGCTTAGAGAATCACAAGGCTTTGTTGAATCACAGTCTGCTTTTTAGTATTGAACCCAATTCTGGTCACACCTTTGCTTCTTAACGAGAGTCGGCCACACCAAATGTGACTCTGTGGGTACAGTGTGCCCTGGGTGCCGTGATCGTGAGTGTAGTTTATGCAGTTTTTTTTTTTTTAATTCTTTGGGGCTTACCTTGGATCGACACACAGATATATATTTTGTATGTACACAGTTTGTATATATTTTGGATTCTCTGATATTTGAGGTGTGTGAGAAAGGTCTTTGCTGTCTTTCGGTGTTGTATATTTTTTGCTTTTTGGTTTGGATTCTGTTCTGTACTTGGTTTAGGTTTGGTTTTCTTTTCTGCCTTCATTTGCATTTATTTTTGGTTGCTGGTTGTGGTTTCAGTTTCAGTTTCAGTTTCAGTTTCAGTTTCGGACTCTATTTACAGTAGATACTCGGCACCGATACAAAACGTTGCGTAATCTAAAAGAAAACGCCAACGAAAAATCGACATGAAACGAAACGAAAAAGCAGAAGAAGAACACAGAATTAAAATGAGAATTGTTTAAACTAGGATTTGAATTTAATAGTTTTCTTTCTCTTTTGATCAGCTTTTTGCATGGATTGCTCGTGATCGTTCTTGTTATGTACCGGGTTGACTATTCGAAAGGGGATCTTTGGTTCGTGGTTAATGATAATGGTTCTGGTTCTGGGGGTTGGGGTTCGGGGTTCTTTGGTGGTGTTTTCTTGGTGGAGGTTGACTGAAGGTTTGCAGAAGGTTGGAGTTGGATAGGCCCGTGTCCGTCTTCAATTTTGAATTTGTTGTAAATTTTTAACATTTAATTTCAACGCAAAATGACTAGGTTTTCTTTTTTAAAATAATTTGTTGTGTTGCATTTTCCGAAACCAAAACCAAAAATAAAGTTCTTTCTTGTTGAATATACATATGAATATATATTTCTTTTGTTTCTTTCTATTTTTCGTTTGACTTTAGCACACGCACACAAAATTCCAACCGAAAATGTTCAAGACAAGAAGAGAGCAACACAACAGAGAAGAGAAGAATGGGGGGCAGGATTTCGGATCAATTGAATTTGGAGAGAATTTTGGAGACTTTCGAGAGACTATCAAATTTTCGACATCTTCTTTGTGTGTGTTGCTAACTTGATGACAACGCCATTATGCCCCAACCCCCGCCAAGTTTGTAGGGGGGAAGGTATATAGTGGCCTTGGGCCCAGTTCATAACAGAAAAATACACGCAAGAGAGAGAGAGAGATAAAGAGAGAGAGAGAGAGAGAGAGAGCAGGGGAAAGGCTATGAAGCTGCGAGGATCAAAGATCCCATCACTCACCTGTATAACCCTTGGGATAGACCATGGTGACCTCATCGAACTTGGGCTTCTTAATGCCCTGACTGCCCACCGTGGTGCAGGCTACCAAAGAGATAATAGAATATATAAAATAGATATAAAATATAGAAAATATATTATATATAAAATAAATATAAAATATATATCAAATCTAATAAATATTTTCCCATATCTAAGCTAAGTTTCCTTTGACTTACCGTCAAACTTCATTGCCGTGGCAGCTGCCACAGCCGCCTTGTGCTGCTCCACAGTGCCGCCGGCTTCCAGAACCCGCATCTTGTTCCTATTGGCTATGGGGCAGCCCGAAGCGCTACAGGGGAGATACCAGCGCTTTTCAGTATACAGGAATCAAGGGAACTCTCCTCTTCCAAAAAAACTCACCTTCTGTGGGAGAGGAACTTGCCAGTGGAATGGCCAGAGCCATCGCAACCCGGTATGGGACAGCGCAGCGGCTCCGAATCCTGGCCATCGCGCGGCTTGCTCTTGGGCTTGTTGGCCCTCGGGCAGCCGGAGAGGCTGCGGTGCGAGGAATAGTTGCCAGTGACATGGCCAGAGCCGTCGCAGCCGGGCGTTGGGCACTTGAGCTCCTGCGAGTGCGATTGCAGATGGTTGCGGTCTGAGCGCGAGCAGCCCGTCAAACTGGGGAAGAGAGAAGGTCCTTGGATTAGTGATTGAAATGGGATCCCCAAAATCCAAGTGGTCGTGGCCAGATAAGGGATGTGTGTGTGTGTCCAAGGCTAAGACTCTTGAAACTTTTGGCTTTAAATTTAGGCTTAATCGTGAGCCACGAGTTGTGTGGTTTGTGGGCCAGTTTTATGACCGCTCTGCGACCACATTCAGCCGCAATCATAAATATTAAAGTCCAGGTCCCACCTCCAGGGCCAGGGATTTAAGGTCGCACCCACTGGGAGCTCGTAAAATGAAGTGGATTTAAGGCATTGCAAGTGCATAGCTGCTCTAACTAGGCTTTCAAGTCTTAATTATTGGGCTAATCTTCAATTTTAATCAGAAAAATCCTTTTTAATTCACTAAAAAACACTTTAAGCTCTGAGGTTAGGTAGTTGTTATGGAAAAGGAGGTAGCAGCAGCAGTTCAGGTGATGCCCTGCTTCTCCCCTGACAGAGATGGATCGGACGAAATGGGATGGGAGAAGTCAAGCATAGATGGATGGACACTTTGTCCGATTATTAGTTGATCCATTAACTTCACACACACAAATGCACACAAATAGGGGGAGGAGGGAGTGTAGAAAAGTTAGAACTCACCCGTCCTTGGTCTTGTCATGCTGCGGTATGTGCTGTGGCGGTGGCATCGAGTAGCAGGTGGCCGGACTGGGCGAGTAGCCGCCGGATACGGGAGTGGGATAGCCGCCGGGACCGACGGCCGTTGCATACGGATTGCTGCACTGATAGGCGGCCGGACCGTAGCCATGATAGCCCGCCGGCGGGTAGTCCGATTGGACCACCATCCCGTAGCCAGGATGCGGTGAATAGCCTGCAAGGAGGTTATCAAAGGGAGTTGCTAAGCCTAAGAACTAATGATTTCTTTTCTCTTTTTTTCGAACACTTACCACTGGGATCCCTGTACGTCTCGATATAGTGAGAACCGCCGCTATCCGGCGTGGACTCGCGGCTGTAGGGTCGCGGACCAGTGATGTGGCCCACCAAGCCGAAGCCCAAAGGTCGCGGCGGCCCGCTAAAGTCCACCGGTTCCATTTGCGGTGAGCGAGGCGGACCTCCGTTGCCTGGTCCTAGAGGTCCTGTCGCTCCACTTCCAAAACCCTGGGCATGGCCCACGCCCACGCCGACCACCAGACCATCGGCGCCGTACTGTGGACTCGTAATAATGCTGCGAGAAGAGGAGAGAGAAAGGTACGAGAGATGTGAGCTAGGGGTCGTCGCGTCTTGGCCATTTTCAAGTGGATAACTAGAGCTGTGGGATAATAGTTTTCACAAATTTTCAATGCTCACCTGTGTGACAGTCGGGTGACACTGAGGTCCAGCGTCTGCCCCTGGGGACTGGGCACCTGGGGACTGGCAATGTTCGGACTGGCGCCCGGCTGTGGACTACCGTTGCCCATCCGCTGGGCGGAGTACTGGTTGTGCGAGGCTGGCGAGTTGAAACCGTGCGGACTGCTGCTTGTCACCGAGGTGGATCCGCTCAAGTCCACCGCCGGCACTCCGCCGCCGCCGCCCACATTTGGTGCCGGCGAGGAGCTCTGCTTGCCGTGCTGCTGCTGCTGTTGCTGGTGATGTTGCTGCTGCTGCTGTTGCTGCTGTTGTTGCTGCTGCTGTTGCTGCTGCTGTTGCTGTTGATTTTGATAGGCAGCTGCTGCAGCGGCTGCTTGGGCGGCTGCCATTTTTACGGATAGATTTATGGCCGAGAAACCCGGCGGCAGGGGACCCATGGTGGGGTCATAGTGATACATGGGCCGCGGATACAGCGGCTGCCCTCCATTGGCGGCCAACTCCTCGTGCTCCGCCTTGGCCAGCATTAGCTGCTGCTCCTGGAGGTACTTCTGCTGCTGGGCCTGCATCTCGTCGGTGGTCTGCGGCAGGTAATGATAGGCTGCTGCCGCCGCTGCCGAGGCACCTACTGCCGCCGATGTGACCACCGCTGCCGCCGTCGATGCCGTGGAACGCTGGCCATTTGTGGGACAACAGACGCCGCCGCCACCACCGCCGCCGCCGCTGGAATCGTAACGCTCGAAGCCCGCTCCGCTGGCGGCGGCCACCGAAACCGCATCCACAGCGAATGCTGCTGGCGAGCCGCTAAGCGGATGTCCTGGGTGTCCCGGATGGCCTGGATGGCCGGGATGACCTGGATGTCCGGGATGACCGGGGTGGCCGGGATGACCTGGATGCGGTTCATAGGCGCTTCTCGCCGTGCCCGGTGACAGTTCGCCGGAGACACCATTGGCCGCCAATAGCTCGTGGCTCTGGGCATAGCGCATCTCCACGTACTGCCGCTCCTCCGCCTGCTGCTGCTGCTGCTGGTGTTCCGAGTGGTAGCTGGCCGTGGGATCGGGCACATCGTTACCCTCTATGAAAGGTCCTCGCTGCTGGTGAAGAGTGTGTTGTTGCTGCTGCTGCTGCTGCTGGTGATGTTGCTGCTGCTGCTGCTGTTGCTGTTGCTGTTGCTGCTGTTGTTGCTGCTGCTGTTGCTGGTGGGGATTGAGATGCGGTGGACTCTGCATACCAACAAAACGACTCAAATGCGGTGCATGCAGGTTGCCACTCTCATTGCCATTCGTGGATGCTCCACCGCCTCCAGAACCCGCTCCGCCGGAGCGCGGTGCCTGTGAAGCGGACGTTGCTTGTGAGGAGGAGGCGGCGGTGGCAACCGATGGAGCGGGCGCTGCCGCATCGCTGGATAGGTACGAGTGCATGGGGCTCTTGTTGTATTCCGACTTGATGCTGGCCACGGGACTGTATTCCGATTTGATAATCGGCATCGTTGCACTGCCGCCGCTTAGTTTGGCGCTGGAACCAGTGCTGGCGCCACCATTAGCACCACCACCACTACTACTACTGCTGCTGCTGCTGTTGTTGTTATTGTTGTTGTTGATGCAGCTACTGTTGTTGTTGTTGAGATAATGGCTCGAGGCGATCTTCAGCTTGTCCAGCGGATGCAGCTCCTTTTCATGCTTGTCCAGCTCGGCTAAAGGGTGCAAAAGAGAGCAAAAGGAAACATGGAGCGATAGGAAGAGAACAGACAGTGCAAAGAGAAAGAGAGAGAGAGCGTGTCCGGGATGGGGGGCAAAAGAAGAAGGACAAGGATGAGTCAAGTTTTGAATAATGGGTTAAGCAATAAAGCATTAAAGTTCATTTTGAGTTCATGAAGCATTCATCAAGCATTCATTTCGAGTTCATTAAGCATTTCATTCAGACCACACATCACTCTAGTTTCTTTAGTATTGCTTCTTCGTTCATTTAGTTATTTTGGAATGAATGTCAACACTATGGCTCATTCGGTTTAGTATTCAAAAATGTTCGGTGGTCAGTTTGTTGGTTCTGTCGGCTTGGGAAAACCAGTGGTTCTGGGTTAATAATTGGTCTTAAAATCACTTTCACTGCTTTAATTCATTCATTTCGAGGGCTGGCTGGACTTGCTGTTCATTTGTATTTCACCTGCTGTTGCTGCTAGGGCCACTAGCGACGCTGATGTGGCTCCCGGACGGCGGCTGACTCCGCTGGAGCGCCTTACGGCCCGCGGACAGCCGGAGAGGCTGCGGTGTACGCTGCGATGCGGCTGCACGTGGCCACGACCATTGCAGCCCGGTGTGGGGCATTTCAGGATCTGCTCGTGCAGAGCCAGCACTGCGGGATCAATGGTCAAGGATCAAAGGATCAGCGATCAGCGATAATTTTTTGGCACACGACTACGACAAACAAGGCATTCCACAATCAGGGGACAGAGACAGAGATGAAGAGACTTGGAGAAATAGTAGAGACAGAGGGAAATAGAGGGCGAAAGAATAGAATAGAATTAGGGGCCTCTATCAGGTCAAGCCACAAAGAACTTTTGAGAATCAAAATCTCTCTCTCTCTGTGGAAAGCAACTCGCATGCAAATTAAGGATTCTTCAGAGCAGAGATCTATAGAGATCTTTGATCATGCGGCAGAAGGAGGAGGCAGTTGACAGAGAAAGTTAAGTCTTAAGATATACTTCTAAGAGCTACAACTACGCAATACATTTCCCCATAGAAATATAGGAAAGATATGACACAGAAAGAGGTCTTTTCGATAGAGAAGAGTGGCTAGAAGAGACCGGAAACTAATAATTACAAATAAATATAGAATACTACGTATAATTCAGTAGATCGGCGCAAAGAGGCTCTAACTTTCAAACACATCAAACATTCACACACTCAATTTAGGACTAGAAAGACGAGTCTTCTTTTCGAGAGAAGAAAGACAGTTGGAAAGAGACAGAGACAGAGGCAGAGAGATAGAGAGAGAGAGAGAGAGAGAGAGAATGAGAGTCTACAGAGGCATACACGGGCATGCAAAATGGATGTCTTTTTTGGGTTTCTTTTTTATCCAACTTACATTCCGTGGTGACCTTATCGCGCTTCGGACAACCCGACAAACTGTCAATTAATCCCATCGAATGCCAGATCGAAAGTACATATTATATATACGGAAATACAGAGAGAGAGAGAGAGTGAGAGGGAGAAAGACAGGAAATAAGGTGACTTGAGTCTTTGGTTGGACGATGGATGGGTGTACCTGCGATGGTGGGAATACAATCCGGTGACATGTCCTTGGCCCGTGCAATGCGGCGTGGGGCATTTGGTGCCATCTACAATTAACCAATTAACAGTGAAAAATAAGTCCAAAGCGAGCGAGGATCGGGCTTTATACAATATCCACGTGAGAGAGAGAGACAGGTTGGGATATATTTTCTAATTAATTATATGGCAGCGACAAGTTGACGCATCACCCACCCCCCAGGAACCCTTTAAAAAACCCCCTAAAAATGAAAAGGAAGCAGAAGCAGTAGCAGCAACAGCAGGCAGCCAGTCAGTCAGTCAGCGAAAGGAACTCGAATTCTTTTACCCTAAATAATTAATTAAAATTTGATGGAAAACAGCTTTGCATTATTTACTTGAAAAGCAAGCACACACACACACACACACACACACACACACACACACACACACACACACACACACACACGCTGGCACACACATGACAGGCAGCAAGAAGGGTTTTCTAGAGAGCTAGCTTCAAAAATCGTGGAAAACCCAGGCCCAAAAAAAGGACAAGCCAAGCTATTTCTAAGATAAAATAACCCCAGCCTCAGCCTCCGCCTCCACCTTGTCGTATGTGACGTCGGGGTTGGTTAATGAAATATTTTTCGAAATATTTACGCCGTGTCGTGTCGGTTTTTGTCTATTACGTGGCCGGGCAAAATGTCAAAAACTGCAGCAGCAAAAGCAAAAGCACAAGCACGAAGCAGAAGCAAAGGTAGGCAGCCAGCCAGGACCAAGGAGTCGTCTCTAATTAGAATTTAATTAAAATAAGGCAAAAGCAGCATTGTGGGTGGATTGCAGGAGAAATTGCCTTAGTGCCTTGGAAATTCCTCTCTAGTTTTGCAGAAAAACTAAAGTCTAAAAACTAAAAGGACTAAAGCCTAATAAGCCACATTAGCAGAGAGGCAAGGCCTACGCAGAAACAATAACACAACGCTAATGACTTATTACGAGGAGTCTCTAGTCCCGTCTTGAGTCCTTATCCCCCCTTCCCTTGAACTATTTAAAAAGTCATTCAAATTATATGAATACCAAAAGCCACACACAACACACAACACACACAGCGACTGTATGCTCGGCGGCATATTAATGCCAAAACATAATGACAAAATAAATATGCAAAAGTGGTTTTCGTGAGGGAAAACGTGCTCATAATGCTTTATATCTAATCAGGCCCCATGCTCCCACGCCCCGTCGTCTGAGTGTAGAAATTGTACAGCGAAATTAGTAGATGGCAAAGCTCAAGGCTCAGGCTGAGGCTGAGGCACTCAACCGAAGGATGTCTGTCGTCTGTCCAAGATGAGGACGTATGTGTGGGGCGTAAAGGGTTTACAAGCCATTAGTTGTTGCCTCTGCACTTTTGGAATACCCCTCCTCCTTCAGCCGGTAACGACAAAATCGCTTAATGTCTTTTGCCTGCCTGCCAGCCAGCCAGCCTGCTGAATGAGCTGCAAAAAGGGTTTTATTTTTAGAGATACTCTCGAGTCTTTCAAGAGTATTTTTAGGGGTATTCCAGGAGGAGGTGGTCGGGTCGGGGGGGGGTGTTTGGGTTTGTGCAAATAATAATAATTGGCATAATGTTGCTTATTACGCAGGCAAATTGAGTGTTAGTCTCTCTCTCTGTCATTCTCTCTCTTCACACACACACACACACATTTGCTGCTTCAGTCTTGTTTTTTTTTATTTTTTATTTATAGGTGGTAAAGGCTTAAGGACTTAGGGGTCTAAGGGTCTAAGGGTCTAAGGGACCGGGACCAGGGACTTTGTTCTCTGTTCTGATTTTGCCAATTGAAGTGGTTAAACTCAATGCAACAAGAAGTCTCGCACATCAGCTGATCAAGGATCAGTCGAAGCCCAACCAACGAACCAACGAACCAAAGAACCAACGAACCACAACGAACAACGAACCTTTTTCAGTTATGTTCCGCACTGTACCACTGACTGTACCTCTCTGCCGATCTGGTGTTTACATTACTGTTGCCTTCGTGTCACCTTTAGAGCACTGCTCCGTGAACTCCAGCAATATCCACACCAGATCGATCACAGTTTTGGGTCAAAGATCACCACCGATCGAATTAGAACGAGTCGTCGTCGTCGTCGTCTTCACACACCACACAAAGTCAACTGGGAAACAATGCACTCTCTTTCTGTTCTATGGCTTACTAGGGGAGCACTTACCGCGATTCTGGCTGCTCGGCGAGTAGCTTGGAGCCGGAGGTGCTGTTGGCGTCGTCGTCGTTGTCGTCGTTGCTGCGGACTGCGGACTGCTGGCGGCTGCTGTGGTGGTCGGTGGCGTGGCCACCAGTGGCACACCGACAACGCCCTCGCGTGCAATGTCCTGCATTACAGACGCCGCCCGGCTGCCGATGCCCGCCGGCTGCAGGATCGTATACTGCTTGCCATCGGGTGCCAGGGATCCATCCTTGGGCCGACCCAGACCCAGGCCCAAGCTGCCCAGAGGCTGTGGCTGCTGCTGCTGCTTCTCGCCCAGCTGGCTGGCTATGTCGAAGGCGGAGGAGGAGCGCGATGTGGCCTCCAGTCCGAGCTGCTGCTGCTGCTGTTGGCTAGCGGAGGCGGCAGCAGCGGCGGCATAGCCATAGTAGGCCAATCCGGCGGCAGACTCGGCGGGATTGTAGGCCCCGCTGGTGTAATGGGCGTGAGCCTGGGCCTGAGCATGGGCCTGGGCATGGGCATGGGCGGCGGCCGCATAGTTTCGCTTGATGATATCGATGGGCGGCTTGAAGGCGGACGCCGCCTGGGCGTACACACCATTGGCCTCCTCCAGCTCCAGGTCATCAGATCCTGCTCCGACACCAGCACCTGCTCCTGCTCCTGCTCCTGCTCCTGCTCCCGTCGGCTTCTTGCTGCGCTCCATCTGGGCATTGGCATTGAGGCGCGCCTGGTCGTTTTCCTTCTGTCTGTGGAAACGTGAGAAGAGCTGTGAACTGGGACTGCCGGGATCAAGGGCTTGGTCTTGGTGCTCCTCATACTTTTGTTTCTCCTCAAAGAGGTTCTGGAACGGCGGCGGGTTCTCGTCCTGCTCCTGAAGCCGGTAGAGATTGCCGCGGGCATCGGGCCAGCTGCCGGAGAGGCTCTTTAGCGCCGCCTGCGTCTCCCGGATGAGGGTCTCGTCGTCCTGGTCTGTTTCCGCAGCATTGCTTGCGGTCTTGCCCATCATTGGTGTGGGATTGGGTATCTGTCCTTGTCCCGGACTGGGACTTTCTGGACTGTCGGCAATGTGTCCCTGTTTTCGCTTCTTTTGTGGCAAATTGTTGTTATTGTTGTTGGTATTGTTATTATTATTATTATTGTTGTTGTTGAGAGCGACGGCATTGGTGGAGTCATCATCGCGACTGCATCGCTTGCGCCTCTTGACCGCCGTCTCATGGTCGCTGGCGGCGGCGGCGGCGGCATTGCCGTTGCCATTGCTGTTGCTATCGGCGAGGGGCGTGTCCTTGGCGAGGGGCCGCTTGGAGAGCGCCATTTTTGGGGGGCTAATTTCGGTCTAAGCCAGTTTCGCTGCAGGATCGAAATTCAAATATACTTTCGGGGCAATACAAAACCAAAAAAACAGCACGAGCCACGAGCATCAGCAAGGATTTCATATATCGAAAGAGAAATCTCTAAGGATATGGTTAAACCAAAGTCGAAGCTAAATCGAAACCAACTTGAGACCTCTAAAAAGACTCTAAAATTGCTGATATTTTGTTCTGATAAATTCTAGCTTCATCGGTAAACATTGCTGTTAATTTTACTATTTATTTCTTAAAATTATAAAGCTTGGAATATATTTTAAAAAAATATTTATTAAGCTCAGCTAAGGATTTAGGGATTTTGGCAACCTAATGTTAACGTTATTAACTTGCATTTATTTATGTAACTATTTTGTTTAACCCAAAAGTGTCTTATTGACAATTTCAAAAATAATAAAAGCTGTGTCTTTTGCCTTCTAGACATTCGAATTAACCTAAAAAAAAGTTATTTCATTTAATTTCTTCCATTAAGCGGGTTAATAAATGTCCTAAATTATATTTATGAAAATTTATTTAAATGCTTTGAAAATGTTTATGCTCAAATAGTTGGAAATAACATTATGTTTTTTTATCATACCCTAACATGAACCGTAAAAACCAGGATGTAAGACACTGGAAAAAGTGGCAAAGTTCGCACACAATAAATAATAAATAATAAACTGGAGCTGAAGAAGCTACAAAAAGAGAGCCTTACATTTCCCGAATACCTAAAATATCTATTTATTTAATGATATAGAAGGTTCCTCCTCGTGTTGGATCCTAATATAAACTATTTAGAACCCGCTTCAGACACTTGGAATCTCAGTGATCCATCGTTAATGTTTGCATTATCGCCTCATTTTTAGTCAATTTATCGCAAATTCTCAATGGGATTATTCTTGTTGCATTGAATTTTTCTTAGCTTTTGTATACTATATACTTTTGCTTTGGGTTTCATTGTTTATGGTTTGTTTTTGTTTTGTTTTTCCTCCGGTTCTTCCCCCTTTTTTGTTTGTTATTTTTATTTTTTTTAGCTCTTGTTGCTTAGAGAGAGATTCGGTTTAATTTTTGCCTTGCTCTATGGAGGGGACATGGGGGCGGGGGGGTCTGGGTGAGAGGAGTATATATATGTAGTATATACACAAGATATATATAGGCTTTCGAGAGATATTACTAAATTACAAGAGTCAAATACTTGGATGTCAACGTTACCTATTTGGTGGAATATCTTTTTCAGTTTCGAGTTTCGGTTTCGAGTTTCGGTTTCTGTTTCGATTTCGATTTTGTTTTGTGCTCTCTCTCGGGTTTATTTGCTCTCACTTTTGATCACTTTTTGTATCACTTGGTATTTCTAGGGATTTTCGTTAATCATTTTAGTGGCTGCTGGTGGCTCCTGCTTGTTGTTGTTTATTATTTTTGCTAGTTAATATTTAGATCACCAAAGATCACCAACCAAAAAATTGTTGATAAACAAAAGGCAAGTTGAAAAAAAACACAAAAAAAAACCAAACTCACTTTGCTTTTCGCGACGAAAGTTGTAGGGTTTTCTTGGGGTTTTTATTCGGTTGTTTCTTGAGATTGATTACGGGGCGTATACTTGTTATATGGTCGCGGCGCACTTGGCACTTTTCAAAGGGAATTCCCAGGTATGACCTTTTGTTTGGTTTTTGCACTGTTTTGGGTTTTTGTTTTTTATTTATTTTTTTGGGTTTACTTTTGGTTTAGCCGCGACGCAATATCTCCTCCATCTCCTCTCAAAAAGTTTGCCAAGTTTTTTTGTCAGTTTTCCGCTTCTGTTTTTGGCTTCTGCTTTCTGTTTTCAGTTTTCTGTTCCTGGCACGGGCACTGGCACTGGCACTGGCTCCTGGGCACTGGGTACTCTGGGCACTGGGTACTCTGGGCTCTGTGTGTGTGGGAACTTCTCTCAGTGAGTGGCGTCGCAGAGCGAGGCGGCGGTAAAGTCCGGACGTCCAAAACCCGACTGTTCGATGCGTTTGGGGTAATAAAATTTTACATCGTCGCCGTTGCCGTCGCTGCTGCTGCTTGCGGCACGGCCAGCGTCGCTGCCCACGCGACGCAAGCAACGGTAAATGCCGAGCGTCCTTCGGAGTTGCACCACCGTTCGGCCCGCCAGAGCCGAGCTTCAAGAGGCGAGCTAAACTTGAGCTTCGTTTCTGTTTTGTTTCGATTCGTTTCTGTTTCAGTTTGCTTCGCGTTCCGCTCGTTTCCGTTCGGTTTGCAGGGGATGGATGTCCTGTTCTGTTCCTTTTCAATCTGTTTCACCCGACTTTTCCTTGTTTTCCTTTTGTTTTGTTGTTGTTTTTTGTTTTTTGTTTTTTTTCAGCTAGCCTGCGCTTTTTTCCGACGACTTTCCTGCTTTCCAGGCGGAACGTGCGTGTCTACCTGTTCTAAGTTCGCTGCCAACTGACAGTTTTCCAAAGTTGTGTGTGCTGTCGAACTTTCGAATGCACCCGAAAAAATTGACGACGACGTCGACGGCGACGTCGCTGCTGTTGCTGCCGTTTTTCGGAGTTGGTCCTTGCTCACTCGCTCGCTCCTGCTCCTTCCTTCATTGGCCTATAGCTCTGTCGCACTCGCACTCGGCTGTAGGACAGTATTACAGTTTATGTTCGGCGATTCGGCGCACTGAAGGTCACATCACCTCGCCGCTCCCCGAGGTCAACAGTTAGTCCGAAAAGGACGATACGGAAAAGGAGCAGGAGGACAACAAAGGGCGGCATTCCTTCATTTTATGCTGCTGATTTCGGAGATTCACAGGAATTTCTAAGCGACGTCGACAGAGGCAGCAGCAGCAGCGGCGACGTCGGCAGCGAAGGATTCAAGTGATTTTCGTGATTTTCCCAAAGCAGTCCGTCGTCCTTCAACGTTCAGCGTCCGGCGAAGATCGCAAAAATGTCAGAGATCCAGAAATTCCGAAGAATTTAGACCAGAAAATCAATCTCAAGGAAACACAGATCAAAATCCAGGACAAAACAAGGACACCCTAACCAACTGGCCTAGAAATCAACCAAACTTACGAAAGAACAAAGCCAAGGATTAACTCGAGAAGAGAAGAAAGCTCAAGGAGAAGATAGTAAAAATTAAAGAAAAGGAAGAAAACAAATTAATAAGGATAATTCATTCATTTAAAAGAGATACGAAAAGGATAAAACCCCAGGGAAAAAGACTTGAAGAATCTATATCAATTTAGGAATAAAAGTTGCAAAAATTCAAAAAACCCGAAACAAATACTGAAAAAAATTATAAAAAATAAATAAATAAAGAAAAATGACCAAAAATAAAGCTTATAAAAGCTTAAAAATAATAAGGAAAATTTAAAAATATAGCACACACACAAATTAAAAAAAAAAAAAGAAAAAAGAAAAACTAATGATAAAAAACCCATTAAAAGCCGCTGACTCAAAGTGCATCCAGCTGTCAAAGATTTTGAGATTCCCGGACCAATCACCGGCTCAACTGGATCACCTGGAAAGCACACCTGGAAAAGCGGGCTTTCCACCGTCCCACAGCTGTGTTTTTTTCCCCAGCTTAGTGATTAGGATGCTTGATTTATTGGAAAGCCAATTAACCAACAACTAACACGATTGCAGTCTTAGTTACTTTAACTAATGAATTATTTCAAGCTGTCTTTGTAGACTTTTATATTATTGGATATAATTAAGGATTCCGTTAAGGATTTCTAGCTTAAACACATTTAAATAAATGATTCGAAATGACTGAATAAATGAGATTCGAAAGTAATACTGGCATAATTTAAGAATTTCTTTAATAACTAATCAATTTGTTAGTTATAATAATAAATAGACGAACAGAAAAGGTATTAGCATCTACGAAAATAATAGTTATAATAGAAAAACTATTAAAGTAATGATCATTGTCACCTGCTACCAGGATTTTAATATTTTTTAATATATAATTGTATCTTAATGAATACAATTTTATGAAAAGAAGTAATTAAAATATACATATACATATATTATATATTAAAGAGGTAAGAAAAGGATAAGTACACCCCTATGCTTACTCGGATCCTTTGAACTAGTGTTCCCAGACAGCGCTGCTCCTTGTGTGCACTGGGCCGTAATTAAAATAATTAAATGTGGAAAAAAGTAATCACAAGATTGAAAAGTAATTTACACATGTAAGCAAACACCACGCACACAGCTTAAACAAATACGTGAGCACACAAACAAGGCCCGCAGGATATGCAGGATGTACCAACAGGGAGAGAGAGAGAGCAAGAGACCGGCCCGAAGACGGGCTCAAAGAAAGCTACCAAGAAAAAGAACCAGGAACCGGGGAAAAAGAAAACCCAGCTGAAGATGCGGAAAAGCAAGAAAAAGCAAAGGAAACACACGCCAGAAATTGCCAAGGCAAATGGTAAAGTCAACATGACGAGCACGAGCACGAGGACGAGGATGCGGACGCGGAGCCAGGATCAGGCGAAAAAAGAAGGGGTTAAGTGCGGGGGATTAGCATCAGCGCCACCCACAGAACGCAAATGATTTCTCTTATTTCCAAGCGGTCGCGGTTTGCCCCATGGAGTGGGAGAGCTTGTTCCTCGCCAGGATTTGGGTGCAAATGGTGAGAAAGGGGGGCTCTGCTAGGACTACTCGTACCCCTGCCTGGGCATCAGTCAAAAACTGCGCGTCCTCCTTGGATGTACACTCAAGAAATATTATATAAATAAGTTATAATAATAGTATAAACAAATAAATTATTAAATTATTTAAATAACCAATTTTTAAGCTCAAAAAATCATTGAAAAATCATCATTTTGAGACTTTCAGTTCCCAATCTTTTTAGCTTTGTGGTCTCAGTTAACAGTTTTTCTCACTGTAGTTTCCTTTTAACCATCCAAGCTCCCCGGGATGTGCCCAAAGGGGTAAGGAAAATAAGTATATTCCAAGGGGGAGAGGGGTGAGGGAAGACGGAAGGCCGCGGCTCAGCGGCCACAGACGATGGCGCAAATCTAAGGACAACAAAAATTAAGTGGCAACAAGAAAATAAGTCACTTTTTCTTCAGCGTGGCCTAGACAAAATGCGTGGGGGTGTGGGAGGGGGCTGGCGAGTGGGCGTGGTCGCGCCCCCTGGTCGTGGTCGTGGTCGTGGTCCCTGGGCCGAGGCAACGAAATGATTGACAGCGCATAATTAAATTAATTGAGTAATCCACTGGCTGGGTGGCGGCGGCGGCGGCGGCAAAGGGTTAAATTTCCACTGCACACACAAATGTGCCGCCGATGCGGTTTTAGACGAAAGAACACGAAAGAAAGGCCCCCCTCTCCCGGTTTTCCCCGCTTTTCCAACCATTTTCCCAGCTTTCTTCTGCCAACGAACACGAAAAATTCATTTGGTCCTAGTGGTGGCCTTGGCCCAAGCAGAAGATCCTGATGGGAAAATCGTGTCCGTAAATTGTGGATGTACTTATTTTTAAGCACAAAAAGCCTAAACAATTAAATGTCATTTGAATTCTTTGATAAAAATATATATCAGAATACCTTTAAGGGTTCGTTTTTTGCACAATTATCTTTTGTAGTAAATAAATAAAATAAAAGAAAGATAAAAAATATAAAAATTAATCCCAAACAAGAAAGAACATGGCTAGATTGACTCGCCTGTTGATGCTGATTACAAGACAAGACACTAGTCTTGATTTTCTAGGGGCTTAAATTCATGAAAACTCGTTCTATATTGTTGTAGAATCTTAAAATATAACAAAAAACCAAATAAATGCTGAATCCACCATGCACATTTTCAAAATTTTCAAATTAAAATATGTATTTTTCAACATATGTTTAGTTTAGTTACGTTTTCCCTTCAATTTTCTCACCTCTAGTGGCGAAACAGCCTTCATAGAGCTCCTGCATAATGAGAAACCGCGTCGCGAAATGAGTAAAAACCGAAATTGAAAGAAATAAGCCGGAATGCTATGTGGCAGGGCCTCAAGCTTAACCCCTTCTGCCTGTCACACACTCTGCTGCTCCTGCTCCTGCTCGTGCTTCTGCTGGGGGTTAAGGCGTGTGTAGCCCAGGCTTGTGGTTTCCTCTCGATGTGAGCCATTGTCTTGGCGCGTTATCCAGTTTACCAGGAGTCCTCCAAAAAAAAAGTCTCTGGAGACAGCCGTGTGCGGCTTGGCTTGGTCTCTCCTTTGTCTCGGTTGCTTTATTAAAATTAGTAAAAAAAAAAGAAAAATCCAAGGAAGGAAAGGAGTGGAGGTGGTGCTGCCACAGCCTCCGCCTCCGCATCAGCCACCTTGGCCAGTGACAAGTGCCACAATGGGAGCCAAAGGAAGCTGATGCCGCGGGCAATTGTTTGCGAGTATATCGCAAATTAAGTAGGGCTTAAATTTTACAAGCATTTCGCCTTTAAGAGTTAAGTGCTTTCTCTGTTTTCACCCCCTTGCCGAGCACGGATTTTGATTGCCAGCGATTCGCCTTGGCATCCGTCTTTGACACTCAACACTCTGCGTTGACATTCCTTTCTAGTCCCGGGTATTCCAACTCCAGTTCCTGCTTTCTGCTTCCTGCTTCCTGCTCTTCCAGGGATAAACAATATATAAATCCTGAGCACTTGCAGGGGTTATTTTGGTCGCCGGAAGAGGGGTTGGGCGGAAAATCGCGGAAAAAACTACAAGTTTCTTTGGCGGGAAAGTAGTAGTGTCCTTTCAAGGTGTTAATCAGAGTAAGGTTTAAGCAAGGAGATAACTGGGTTTACATACAGATAAAGATTCTTTACATAATTAAGAAATTTTGTTTATTAAACCCCATTATTCCCTTTTTGTTATCATGTTAAATGTTTTAAATAACAAATAGATCTTTAGAGTAAGGAACCTCGTTAACTCCTTGATTATTGGCCTTAAATTGAAATATATGCATTTTCCCCTGGTGAAAACTCGGAATTGAATTGAATTTTTTTACTTAATGAAGTCGCTAGCTGCTGGCAAGGAAGAGTCAGAGCCAGGAGGGATGGGTGATTCCTGAATACGC